AATATATTTTGATTATTATTATCCTAAAAAGTATGTGTGAAAAAACAAATGCTTTGCTTTTATTATATTAAATTGATAAGCTACAGCTATTTTTTTCTTAGTTATATTAAGCATCTTAAGCTAATCAAAGTTTATGTAATCAAAGATCAAAATCTTGTTATTAATCACTTTACAAATATTGAATCTAGTGGATATTAAAAGAAAGAGCATTTTTGATATTATGGGTATTTTCTGTGTTGATTACAAAAAATTAATTAAATTAGTTATATCAATTTTTTATACAATCATAATCTATCTTCTTTTAAGTAATATGTTTTATTCTGATAGAATTTAAATAAATGAATAACAAATTATATTATATAATTATATCAAAACCAGTTTGATTAGATTTCGTAATCAATACTCTTTTTTTTTCCTCTTTCTTAATTCAAAAGATAAAAAATACCAAAATTTGATCTTGGAGAAATTAATTCACTTAAATCGCTTACTATTTATTCAAATCAAAAACTAATCTAAAATATTGTGGTAAATTTATCTAATTAGTGGATTTGATAGTATTTACTTCAAACTTTTTTTGATAGTTGTTATATGAGAGATTTTTAATATATTATAAAATCATATTTAGTTGTATAAATAAATATATTGAAGCTTTTCTAAACAAACTTGGTATATACATGATGGAAAATCTTGCATAAAATGAACAGACACTCAGCTATAAGATGGATTTAATAGTAAAAAATTATTTTTGGATTCATTATAATTGTAACTATTGCTCTGTTTATAAGAGTGCCAAGTTTGACAAGTTTTGCAATATTTTCTTTGGTTTTTTGTTTTTAAGTTACAAATAATTTTAAATTATTTATAATGAGAGCAAATAAGTATAGAAGCTATTCAGATACTTTATTAGAAAAATATATTTTTTCTTTTAAAATAATTTCTATTAATAATATCCTAATGTATGAAAGATATGTTCAAAACAAAGATTAAATAAAAGATCTAATTTTATTTAAATACTGCTATTGCATTTAGCCGATGAATAAAAATTGATAGAAGACTCAATAATTTATCCAAAAAAAAAATCATTTTAATCTAGTAAAAATTACAAAATTTAAAAAAGTGATCAATTTTTTTAAGCTATTTCATATAATTCAAACAAATCATCCTTTTCTTTTTTCAATTAGTTTATTTTTAGATAAACCTATGGATAGAAGGATAAATGGATGGATAAATCAATATTTTGAGTTCTTTTTTATATGATTTAGACTTTTTGCTTTAAAGTACCTATTCTACTTTTAATGTGTAATTACTTGGAAGTTTATAGTTGAAAATAATACAAAAATTAAGTTTTTAATTAGAATGGGAGTGATTACAGTGGTGAGCAGAAATAATTGATAAAAAATTAATTTGGTGCGACAATTTACAAAAATTCAAATAATTTAGAAACTACCATCAAAATTATTTAATAATTGATTATTTAGGTTAAATTAATAAATTAACTCATTAATGATAATTTTCTCTTTTCTTTGTAAACAAAATGATTAATTTATTTGTTTTTAAATTTATTAAGACTGTAAGATATGACAGGCAGAAACAAGTAGTCTAATCTATATCAGTTTTTTCTTTTTTTTGTTAGTTATCTATTGTTTTAAGAGATTGTAATATCATTCAAGCCAAATCTCATATTAAATTTGTACTATTTAGTTTATCGAATATCCATCTAATTTTTACTATTTCAAAAGCTGTATTAATAAATTCTTATTATTAACATTTCTAATCTCTAGCTATCTTAATGTAATTGCATAAGTTAATTATTTTAAATATAAATAGATATCTTTAGACTTTGACTCAGTCTATTCATGATTTATTTGAATATAAGTAAATTAATTAAAGGATACTAAATTAATTAAAGATATAAATATAATTCAAAAATGAAAGAGCTGATCAATCTCTCAATATGATTAATATATTTTTACTATTATTTTACTAGAATCATATAAAATATCTATTTTTATCAAAATGACTTAATAAAATTGGTAATGGTAGGTTTTGCTTTAGCAAATTGCACTAATATTTCAAATTGTACTTTATACTTGAACTTTGTAAAAACAGTTTATTGATTTTTTATTTATCCATTTACTCTCTCTCTAAAATGAATTTTAAACTCAACTTTGAAAATTAAGTTATTAAAAGACCGATCGTTCTACAGAAGTATAGTTTTATAAAATTATTTTGAAAATAATTAAAAAAGAATATAATGGCGGATTATGTATCAAATAATAAGGTAAAGTATATTAAAAAGACTTGAAAAGAGTTCACTATATAAAGATTAGCTCAAATAAATAAAAAATTAAAGGTAAATAGTCATATTTATTATTTACTTGAGTGAAATTTCTACATAAATGTATGGTATATTTTATTTTTTAAGCTTATTTAATGTATTCATTTTGTACTAAATTATTAAATTTATCTTATTTTATATTACTATTATATTTATTTATTTATTTCATTAGAATGGAATGCTTTTCTTATTATCAATAAGTAAGGATATTTTGCGAATATCTTAAATTTGTTTTTTACCTATGTTTTAGAATCAAATAACTCTAATTTAGCACGGATAAATTTAAAAAAATAAATAATATATAGTTAAATGAGGGGTCTAGCGCACTTGTGATTATTTTTAAAAATATTTTTTTTTTTTTAAATTTTACTATTCAATATTTTTGAAAAAGAAAAGAAAAATAAATGTTATAATAGAAACAATAATTCTACAATATAGAAGAAATAATTATTAATTTATTTTTTAATAATACTCTTTAAATTTAATTTTATAAATAAAAAAATTTTTAAACTCTTCATTTTAATCTCATTAGGTTATCCATATTGCTGTATGATATATTTTATTTATTAATATTATTTATTATAAATTATAAATTATTTTTTTAATATAATTTTCAAATTATTCACATAAAATATTATTTTTCCAAAAGAAATTCTCAACTTTTTACTTTGATTCATCAATTTTTATTAATTTTATTATTTTTTTAACTATTTTATCTAATATTTTATTTTTAATTTTTATTTTGATTATTAATAAATTCATTTCTTATTATTTCATTAATTTATTTTTATCTTTTATTGTGCTTATGTTTTTTTATTTCTTTTTTAATTTAACTAATTTTTTCATTTTCAACTTTTGCTTTAAAAATTAATTTATTTTTTATTATTTCATATTTTTTCTTACTTTCTAGCAAACTAATTAATGATATATTTTCTTCAATAATTAAAAAATGACAATTTAATTAGTGCAATTGGTGCATCAGGCTTAGGCTTAGCTTTAGCTAAATGTATTAATCTCTCTTTTTTAACACTTTTGATTGGGTAAAAGCAGTTTATTTATTTATTTTGGTTTGTGACATTTTTTAATATAAAAGTGAATTTAAAAAAAATAATTCTTTTAATTTATTTATTACCTTTTTTTTGATTTTTTTTTATTCTGCATATGTATGTATGTATGTATGTATGTATGTATGTATGTATGTATGTATGTATGTATGTATGTATGTATGTGTATTATAAATTGATTTAAGATAAAATTTTTAAATAGCCACTTCACTATTATTGATTTTGATTATTACTTTACTATAATTTAAATTAAGATTCAAAGCCGAATCAATGATTAAGAAATATTGAAAATAATGAGCAACTATCTTAAATCAAAATAATTAGTTGTCTTTCATATAAATTTCTATTATTGATAAATAAATGGTGAAAAAAAGGATGAATAAATTCAAAAATATTTGAATAATAGAATTTATATAGTACGTATGTATGTATGTTTTATTTTATAATATTTTGTTTTAAAATAATTTAACATAGATATATCTAAGATTATTTTTATATTTTAAATATCATAATTTTGGTAAGTTATTAATAAATAAATAGCATATTAAATAAAAGTATTTAATTCACTTAAGTAAAGTAGTTCCGTTCCTCTAAAGTTACTAAGTAAGTAATTAGGAGATTGATAATTAAAATATTTTTAAAAATAAAAAAAAATATGATTTTGAGATTATTTCTTTTTCTTAGCTCAACTTCAACAAAAAGAAGTCTAGCTTTTAAAAAAATAAATATAAGCAAGTAAAGATACTCTAACTCACTCCTCATTAATAAATATAATTTATTATCCTTGATAATTATTTTAAAACATATATTTTCTAGTAAGTTTTGAAAATTTAGTAAATAAATTTGGTTACATAGTATATTTATAATATTGAAATAATTTAAATCTTACTACTAGAGTAGATATTTAGATATTTAAAGAGAAAGATATAAGATTTATGTATATTTTAAGTTAACTATTTTATATGAATACATTTGATGATATATATTTATTTTATTTTATATATTTTTACAAATTCTAAGATAGCAATTAGATATATCTTTAAGGTTAAAAAATCAGTTTAATTTTAATTAAAATTTCATTCGCAATTAAGAAATATAATTAATTTTTTTTGAAATTGATTCAAGTAGATATCTTAATTACTAAGGAATTTGGATAAAATTTATTTATTTTGTAAAGTCACATTAATTTCATAAAAATTCTTCTTCTTCTTCTTTTTTTGTAACTAAGAAAAAAATTAAGCATTTTACTTTGAAAAAAAAATTCCCATTACACATATATATTTTTTCACACTATATAAAAGTGAAAGAAAATATTTACAATACAATTAATTTATTATTTACTTAAAAAATAATTTACAATATTTTAAGATTAAAATACAAATTTTTACTCATTTATACAGTATTTTAAATTATCAATTATGTACAATTTATTAATAATTAATAATCTTTTATCACAAAATTTTAAAATAAATGTAAGTAAAAATTAATTTGTATCTTTACTATTACTAAAATATTAGAGTAAATTTATTTTAATAGTAAACAAAAAAAAATAAATTACAACTTTAAAAATAATATTTCAATTTATTTTTAATTTATTTAAACTTTTATATAAAAAATTATTTTACATTCTCATAAAATAATCAAAAAAATTATTATTGATAAATTTAGGATTTATGAAAATGAGAATTAGGTGTTTTATTAACTCTAAGGAACTTAACAATCCTTTTCAGTTTTAGCAGCACCAGCTTTTGATGTTGAGTTGTTCGGACAAGTATAGCATTGAGATTTTTATGCTTCTGTGGCTTTACTAGCATCTCCATATTAATTAGTACTACATTAGCATATGTTGTTACTTGCATTCCAAGCTACTGAATTTTAGTCATAACACTTACAACCTGAAAAATCGTCTGTACTGGTTGAACCAGGAGCACAAGCTTGACATTTTGTATTTCCTGTACCATTTGCAAACTACCCTAATAAACATTTACTGCATGCTGAATTTGCAGTTCCACTTGAAAATGTTCCAACTTCACATGGAGAACATTTTCCAGAGTCTGTAAATTATCCAGCAGTACAAGCAGTACAGCTTAATTAAGAGTTCTTTGATGTTGCTGGAGAACCAATATAACCTGAATTACAAACGCAGCTAGGATTAGCTGCTGGTTTGTTTGCATTCAGATCTATACATTTACAACCTGAAAAATCATCAGTATTCGTCAAAGTAGATCCACAACTTTAGCAAGATCTATTTCCAGTTCCTGATGCATATTAACCTTCATTACATTGGTTACAGGATGAACTACCATTATTTGATGAATATGTACCAGCAGGACATGCTATGCATTATCCTTATGTCGAAACATCAGAATATGAACCAGATGGGCAAATTGTACATCCAGTTGAGCCACTTTTAGCTGAATTAGGTGTTCCTCCATAACCTTATTTACAGATGCATTTATTATTAGCAAAGATAGCATTCGTATCATTGCATTTACAACCAGAAAAATCATCTGAAGATGAATAACCACTAGGACAGTTAGAGCATGAGATATTTCCTGTTCCACTTGCATATTATCCTGCTGAACATTATGTACAACTTTGATTTGCTGAATTACTAGAATAATATCCAGCAGCACAAGGAAAGCATTACCCAGATGTTTTGTTTACTTCTTAACCAGCTGCACAAGCTGTACATCCACTTTAAGAACTTTATGAAGTCTTTGGTGAGCCACCAAATCCTGAGTTACATGAGCAGCTACTTTTGCTGTCTGTTTAGGTGGCATTAGAATCTATGCATGAACAACCTTAAAAATCAGCATTATTAGTAGATCCAGATCCGCATTTATTGCAACTAGAACTTCCAGTATTAGATGTAAATGTATTTATTTCACATTATTTGCAATTAGTATTACCGGTGCCTTGTGAATATTTTCCAGCAGGACAGGCAGTACATTTTCCAGAGGTAGAAGAATTAGAGAACTAACCTGCTATACATGCATTACACCCTTAAGTACCTGATGAGCTTGAAGGAGTACCCTCATATCCATCTGGGCAAACACAGCTACCATTTACAAAAACAGCACTTGTATCTACACATTTGCAACTTGTAAAATCATCCAAAGAGACTGTTAAATTAGGACATGCTTAGCAAGATGTATTTCCTTTTCCAGTAGCAAATTATCCTGAGGCACAATTTGTGCAAGAAGTACTGCCAGGAGAACTTGAATAAGTACCAGCAGGACAATCAACACAAACTCCAGAAGAGAAGTATTATCCAGGGGGACAAGGAATACATCCTTAAGTATTTATGGTAGTAGCTGGCGAGCCAATACTACCAGGATTGCATTAACATGAGTTATTAGTAGTTGACCAAGATGCATATTAGTCATAACAATAACAAATTGTGTTTATGCCAGGATTTGTGTTTGATCCAGCAGGACATTACTAACATTATGCTGTTTTTCCATCTTAATATGGTTAAGTCATGTAATAACCAGCTACACATACAGTACATTAAGTTGCGTCTCCAAGTTAGCTTACAGGAGCTAAAGTTGCAGTATTATTAGGACAGGGTTAACATTCTGCAGAATTAGTTGAATCAGCAGCTTTTGTCATATAATAATTTGGCTTACACAAAGAACAAGATGAAGGAGAGCTAGAAGTTCCAGCTACAGAATAGGAGTTTTTAGGGCATATTTAGCATTATGCTCCAACACCAGGATTATTACCAACTGGATCTTAATATGGTGTGATTAAATAATATCCTTCTAAACAAACATCACATGAGGATTCATCTCCGACTATATTCACATTAAAAAGCCTTCCTGAACCAGTAGGGCAAGATACACAAGTAGCAGGAGTATTAAGAGTAGGAAGTGCAGTTATATATTAACTTAAACTACAAGTACATTACATAATACCTCCTTGAGTTGTTTTTAAAGTTGTAGTATTTCCTGGGCATTTTTAACAATCAACAGGTTTATTAAAATCAGCAGCATTATAGAATCCCTTTAAACACTAGTTACAATCTTTAGATGTATAAGTTGGTTTAGAACCCATTGGACCATTATCGATTAGAGCACGCATTCTACCACCCATTGGAACACCCGTTCCTGGACCAGCCATAGTACTAGAATTATTAGGGCAAATTTAACAATTCGCATTTTAATTAGAAGAAACTTATGAAGTAGCATAAAAACCTTCAGCACATGTACCGCAATTTGTACTAGAAGGAGGATTAGGTTAGTTAGGCATTGGACCAGGAGCAGAAGGACTTGATGAAGTGTTGTTAGGACACTTTTAGCATTATGCTGCCTTACCTTTATTACCATTATCACTTGAAGGAGAAATAGCATCTTTGATCTTATAATAACCTGGTTTACAACTCTCACAGACACTTTCATCTTAAACACTTTATGCTTATTTACTCACGTAAAACGAATTGTTAGGACATATTGAACAAATAGCACTTTAGCCTGATGATGCCACTTATGTCAAATAATAAGGACCAATAGAGCAAATTGAGCAATCAGAGACTTATTTACCTACGCCGTTTCCAGTAACACTAAAATTTGGGCACTAAAAACAATTTTAGTTATTAGTGTAAAATCCAGGATAGCAATAACAACTATCACCGTCATAACGATTAGGTGTCTAAGAGTAATGACAATATTAATAGGAAAGCTAAATAAGTGCCAAAATGAGCAGGCAAGTTTTTTAGTTCATCATATTATTATTATATTTTTTTTTTGTTATTTTAAATGTTTTTGATTTAATATTCTTTATCATTTTAGAAATAGCGGATATACTTAAACTTCAAAAATCATTTGAATTTCTTCTATTTACTTGATGAGTTTTGAATAATTACAATTTTGCTTTTAATATCTTTTAATTTCTGAAAAATTGTCAATTATTTATGAAAAAAAATAGTTAGTAACTTAAAAACTTATAAAATAGTAAAAATAAATACCTACTTGGAAACACTCACCGCCAAACCTCACCCTATCTAATTTGATAATTTAATTATTAACTTACATATTTTCATTGTTCATTTCAAAGATAAACTTATCTTCATAAAATCTGAAAACAACATAAAATTTTAGTAAAAATATTTTCGTCATTTTATTTAGATAGATAAAAATATATTTTATGAAATTGTTAAGTTTTTTTAACTTACTTTTTCAAAAAAGAGATATCTTTATTTTAAATTAGCTTAACTGTTTAATTTTAATTTTCTTTTTTTAACCATTATTTGAAATGAAATTAAGATTTAATCATATAATTCATATAATCAAAAGTTTTTACTTTGAATTTTATGGCTTTAATGAAATTTATTTTCCTTTTCTAAAAATTCTATAACTTGATTAATTTTCAGTTTTTTATCAGGTTTCTAAATATTACATCACTTTTTTTTAAAAATAAATAATATTAAAAATATACACTTTTCACTTTTTTATATATTAATATCACTCACTGACATAATTTAGTTAACTAAAAGGCAATTCATCAATAGAAGAAAAAAAATTTTGGTTACAATTTTTTGTTTGATTTTGATTTGTATAAATCAAATTCATTTTTTTTCTTACAATTTTATTGACTATAGTTTTAATACAATTATTACCTATAAATATGGTAAAAAAATATATCCAAAAATATAAATCTAGTTAAATCCTATAAGGATTGAATAAACAAAATATTTTAATATACTGTATCATCATAGTTTTTAATTGTAAAAATAAAAATTAAATACTTAATATTATAAATTTATAAATTTTTTAGAAAATATATAAATTCTTAGCCAAAGAATACATTGGAATGTATATAAATTTACACTGAAAAATTTAAACTAAAAATAATTTTAATTATATATTTATTTATTTCATTTTATTTTTTAAGATGACTGACTCACTTTGAGAAAAAGAAAAAATGAAATCAAGACAAAAGAGCAAGGATAGATAGTTTTTATTTTTAAAGATATTTATTTTTAAGTGTAATCTAACCATTTGAAATCACAATTTCATTTGAAATTTATATTTTAGCTAAATAAATAAATACTTTCTTTTTTTTTGGATATGATTAAAATATGTGTATTTTTATAAAAGGCAATCATACACACAAAAAGGAAGGAGTTTATTAATATTGTAATCTATTTAGCAAATAAATTAATACTTAACTTTTCAAAGCTTTTTTTTCTGATTTGTGAGTAACTAACTACTTTTAATTAATATAATTATTATTTTGATTGGGAAATTTATGAAGTATTTATTACTATTCTTTTTATTTTGTGAACAAAAATTAATTAGTAAATGGTTAATAATTAATAGAGCTATCCTTTTTTTAATAGCATATTTGATCATTACCGTCATTGTATTCATTCTTCACAATTTCTTTTTTTATCTATATGGTTTGTATCAATTTTTAACAAATTTAAAGGCGTTTAGAATTACAGATGTCATTTTACATATAATTTTATACTAACCATTGATGAGTGTAATATCATTTTAGATTAAGGCTTTTTTGAAGAATATTTAGAAAAATTATTATTGCAAAGGATTTTTTGAATAAAATAAAATATAATGTAAAAATTATAAAATTATTTTTTTACTTAAATAAGAAAACAAAATCGGATATATTTTAAAATGATTAAATTCCATAAAAATTAATTAGTATTTAGATAGGCCAATTAATTTTGTTTTAATTTAAAATACTATGAGTAAACCAAAAATACAATTCATTTCATAAATTCAAAAGTAGAAACATATTAATAAGAATGAAAATAATTTAAAAAGATTAAAATAAAACAGCGAAATATTTTTCAGCTCTGTCTCTTAGTTATTTATGAGCTTATTTATATATTTACAAAAATAATATTAATAGACAAATCATCATAAAGAGTACTATTTAGGAAGCCTTTTAGTTTACTTTTTGTCAAGATTTATTCCATTTAATAATTATTTTTTAGTACTCTAGTTTCTTAAAAATACATTCTAATTTGGCTACAAAGCATTCTCAAAATTTTTTACTTATTAAAGTTGTTTATGTCATATTTAAAGCATTAGCATTTGCTAATTTGGTTATTAGTAAATCTCATTTTATTTCCCATTATTTAATAGAGCTTTATTCTTTATTTTATAAAGTAAACTAGCGCTTTTTATCTCTTCTATATAAAAGAACAATAATTTTATTTAGAGTTTATTCTAAAATGGAAGATAGATAATTATTATGAATATTTTCTTTTTAAAGTTGTGAAATTTAAGTTTTTTAAATAAAATAATACTATATTTTAAAAAAAATGTATTAATTAATTATTGTTATCCCAAAAAAGTACTTTGAAGAAACAAATGCTTTGTTTTTATTATATTAAATTGATAAGCTACAGCTATTACATAATCCCTAATTTTTATTCAGCTATTTAAAATAATATTCTGTTTTAAAAATTTTATGCGTTTAATTATTTATCTAGCTTTTTAAAATAATATTTTTTAAAAGCTTTTAAGCTCTTTTTAAAAAAAAGTAGAAGTAAAATAACTATGAATTTAAAAAAAGCAAATGAATTTTAGGAAATTCAGCTTAAATATGAAAATAAATGATAGAAATATCAACCAATACAAACAAAATTTAACCATAAATAAATAAAAAGTTTCATTTGAAAAAAATTTGTGTTTTCTTGAGCTTCGTTTTTAAATAACTTTGCTTGATTTACATTTATATAAATTAATGTAAATTTAAGCATCTTACGCTAATCAAATTTTATGTAATCAAAAATCAAAATCTTGTTATTAATCACTTTACAGATAGTGGATCTAGTGGATATTAAAAGAAGAGCTTTTTGATATTATGGGTATTTTCAGAGTTGATTACAAAAAATTAATTAAATTAGTTATTTCAATTTTTTATATAATCATAATCTATCTTCTTTTAGGTAATCTTTTGTATTCTGATTGAATTTAAATAGATGAAATTCAAATTATATTATATAATTATATCAAAATCAGTTTGATTAGATTTTTTAATTAATTAATACGCTTTTTTTTCTTTTTCTTCATTCCAAAGATATAAAAATACTACCAGTTGATTGATCTTGGAGAAATTAATTCATTTAAATCACTTACTATTTATTCAAACCAAATAAAATTATAATCTAAAATATTGTTGTAAATTTATCTAACTAATGGATATGATAGTTTTATTTACTTCAAATTTTTTTTGGCAGTTTTTATATGCTAGATATTTAGTACATTATAAAATCATATTAAGATGTATAAATAAATACAGTGAAGCTTTCCTAAACAAACTGCTTTATACAAGATGGAAAAATTTCCATAAAATGAACAGGCGCACAGCTAATAGATGGATTTAATAGTGAAAAAGGAAAAAACAAACTTGTTCCCATTTTAATTGTAACGATTGCTCTGCAAGAAGAGTTAGTTAGACATATTTTCTTTGGTTATTGTTTTTAAGTTGCGAAATTAGTTTTAAATTGTTTATAATGAGAGCAATTAATTATAGAAGTTATTCAGATATTTTATTAGAAAAAATATTTTTTTCTTTTTAAAATCATTTGTATTAAATTATTTATTTAAAAATAATAATATCCTAATGTATGAATGTTATATACAAAAAAAGATTAACTAAAATATTTAATTTTATTCAAATACTGATATTGCTTTTAGCCGATGAATAAAAAAAATTATATTTTGATAGATAGATAGATCACTCAATAATTTATGCAAAAAAAAAAAAAATCATTTTAATTTAGAAAAAATAACAAAAGTAGTTGGTTTAATGCTATTTCATATAATTCAAACAAATCATCCTTTTCTCTTTACAATTAGTTTTTAGATAAACCTATGGATAGTTGGATGGATTGATCTTTTTTATATAATTTAGGCTTATTGCTTTAAAGTACCTATTCTACATTTAATGTGTAATTATTTGGGATTTTATAGCTGAATATAATACGTTTTTAATTAGAATGAATGATTACAGTGGCTAGCAGAAATATATTAATTATGTCACATAATTTATAAAAATTCTAATAATTTAGAAACTACCATCAAAATTAATTAATAATTAGTTTTTAGGTTACTTAGTTAATAATTTAACTGTTTGATGATAACTTTCTTTTTTCTTTAATTGAAAAAATTGTATTTTATTTCGTTGATCAAATAAATATCCATCTAATTTTTATTGCTATTCTCTGATAATTATTTCTGTAGTAGGAAATTAATAAATATTTAGTACAATAATAAATATTATTTAAAAAATTTAATGTATATTTAAAATAATAAAAAAAGGCATCGAAAGAGGTTTTGAACCTGAACTAACAAAAAAAAATAAACTTTTAAATTAAAAAATATTTGTTAAATAAATTAATAAAATAGCGTTAGAGGTATGAAAAAGATAAAAAAATTAATTAAATAAAAGTTATCAAATAAATTCAAAGAGCTTTATTGTTTTTAATTAGTTTTTAAAATATCACAATCCAAAACAAGTAAACTTTTTTACTAAAACTTTTTAAATATTGAGGAAAAAATATATCATTAAATAGTTAATTAGAAGGAAAAAATGAAGAAAAAATATGAAATAATAAGATTAATTAACAATAAAAGCAAAAGTTTAAAATAAAATGACGAGCTAAATCAACAAAGAAAGAAAGAACAAAAAAAAGCAAGCACAATAAAAAGAAAAAGAAAAAAGAGCTTTATTATTTTTAATTAGTTTTTATA